ATTTCAGAGCTTGATTACATATTTGGTCACTTCACTGGTATCTTCCTAGTAAGTTTGTAGTCTATTCTCTGTACATGAGGACCAGACCTAAGGTTTATCCTAAAGTCATCCTACCAGCCCTAGCCAGTGGCATCATATGGGGGATAGTCATGTGAATGTTATGTGACCTTTCAAATCTTCCCCCTCTCTCTTTAGCTGGCTGGTTTGTAGCTAATGAGAATTTATCACTAGCTGTTAGCTTCCCAATAATTACAGCTGTAAGTTTACCAGTTATATGTATCCCATACTTTTTATCAATAGTAAATTATATGTACATGTATTTTATTAGGGTCCAGGATTTATTAGTTCAGCCTGGGGTATTTTGCTGTACAGAGAGATCAAGGTACAACTTCAAAGTTCAAACATTAAAATAATCTGCCCACACCTCTCCTCTTCTCTAGGAATGAAAAAAACATTAGTCTTTATTTTGGTGGTTTTTCGTTTCAGTCTGGATGCTCTCTCCCATAACAAGGTTCCATGTTAATGATGCATAAGATAAAAATGATGAGGAGGCCAACAAAAATATAGGAATAATTAACTGCTGATTGTGTAACCTTATTATTATTATTGTTCCTATTTATTTAAACTTATAGTAGATTTTTTAAAATATTTTTTCTTAATAATTTAAGTGTGTCAAGTTCACAAAAAGTGTAGCAGAAAATTACATAAAGATAATCGTATTATGTAGATTTATAGTTTAAGAATATAAAAAGTAGTCTAGCTATACAAATACTATAGTACTAATAATGACAAATAAAGTTCATAAATTAACAAAATATTAATTGTATAGTTCTTTTGATATTAAAAACATAGAATTATTATACCAATAAACAGCATTAATAGTGACAACAATAATAATAGCTATACTAACACATTAATTTTGATAAATTAAATTTTCAATAAAAAGTGGAGCAGAAACACAAACTATTAATGCTCATAAACAATACAACATAATATACAATACAACAATGAATGATTTATAATGACAAAAATAAGAATAATAAACCAGAGGAAATCATCATAATGCTGCATATTGTATAACAACTACCAATAGAAATAATAAATAAATACTGAGCATTACTTTACTGTAAAAAATATAATCAAAAGTAGAAAAAATTGCTCTGCTGCAAAAATGAAAAAAAAATACTTCACAAGAAGTCTCCATTATTCTTGAAGGTATTAAAGTTAACAAGAGAAAAATTTGATGCCATAGTGTTAATATAATGAAGAAAGGAAACAATCGAATGTGTTTGTGTAGAAGTGAAGGTGCAGTAGAGAATGAGGTGATTTGGTAAATTGGTAATACGTAAGAAAGAAATTCAAAGAATTGAAACGATTCCAACAAAACGAACAAGACAAACAAAATAAACAAGGTACAAAATAAGAAACTAATCCAATTGTGTAGTATTGTAGCTTATTAAGAAGGTATAAATGAAGGATGTGGTTTAGTAGCTATTGGTGCTAACTGTCTTCTTTCTGCCTCTTCAACAAATTCACGAACTAATTTTGATAAACCAATTCTAGCCTCAAGAAATTTAGCAATAGACCCAGCATTGACTGATCTAGCACCATCAATGTCTCCTTGAACAGGAACCAGATTAAATTCATCTATTAAGACACGAACCAACTTTAAGTTACCACTTCTACAAGCAAAATATAAGAGACCTTTGGAGCTATTTGTTAGAATATTCTTATCACATTTTAGATTAGTTAAGTAATGTGATACAAGTTGAATGTTACCACCTCGACAGGCAGCATGAAGACCAGTGAATCCATTACAGTCTTTGTCTTCAGGATGAATA